TCACAGGCAGGAAAACAGAGGCATGAGCAAGAAGGGTGATGTGGCTGAGTCCCTGAGGCTTCCTGGCCCGTCCTGCCCTTTGAATTAGGGCGACACAAGGTTCCATGATGGCCAAGACCCAATGGGTGCAGGAAGGATGGAAGTGAACCCGCTCTGAGTGAAGGACCCTAGTTAGCAAGACGGACTCCATATTGCTGCTGAACAACCCACCTGCCTGCCCTTTAGATGAACTCAAAAGGAGGAAGCTTAGAAACCTCCTCCCCTTAGAAAGTCTCTTAGAAACAACAATTAATCAACTATTGTTTTACAAATGTTCTAACAGCAGGACATTCCGCTTCTGTACCTTTTGCTTGCTTTACTAGTTCTATCCCATAGGGGGGCCTAGAAACTGTTGGCCTCAAAGGTGTATAAAATATGTTGATCTTCCCCAGTCAGGGCTTGAGTCCGATGCTCGGCTCGGGTCCCGGCCGGTAATAAACTCCTGTATGGATTTAATATCAGTCTCTGGTTGGTTCTTTCTCACTGGGTGCAACACTGAGGAGCTTCAGCACGGCAGGGACAGCACAGGCTCTCAGCCCAGCTTGCATGAGTCCCTTTTGGAAATATCCACCGTAAAAACAAAATAAGTACAAAGCAAGCACCTCCTGAACACAGGCCATAACAATGTCCTGTGTCAGCAATGCCAGATGGAAGAAAATGGCGGGCTTGCATCATAAAGCTGGGCATTTGCCTTGTGGTCTGTCCCCAGGAGGCTCGCTGATGTGTCAGCCTGAAGGAGGATTCCTCAGCTCAGCAAGAGTGCTCCGCTGCTTTCCCTTGAATACAAATGATCTGCACTTAAACTCTCATTAAGTTCTTGCTTATTTGCTTCCCTGTGATTGGGCCCTTGTGGATCGGAAAGCGTCCTAGTGTGCCCATGTCTGGGGACAGCACCAAGCTTCAGAGGTGTCAGCAGACCCAGCATGCCCCACCGCATCAGTCACATAGAGGGTGGCCTCGAGCCCAGTCCAGGGGAGGAACTGTTTCACGAGGCTGAGAACCGGCTGATATCCATCCTGAGTCTGGGTCCACCCCGTGACACGTGCCAGGCTGACAGCTAGCAGTATGAGGATGTGCTCTTGTCGGGGATGGGCCCCTGGAAGCGTCCTGGGAGTCACGACCAGAACTAGCAACCTCTGTTCCCATCCCACTGAGGAATGGGGTCAGGACAAGCTCCAGGCCTGGTCGACAGAGGCCGCCCTGAGCTTGGCTTATCTCAGTGGATGGTGTCCTGTGAACACACCATGCCACCCTTTGGCTCCTGCCACCACGTGAGGGGACCGTGTGCCCAGTCCCACCAGCTTCTGGTCCTGTTTGGCTAAGGCAGGAAGTAAACTTTCAGCTCGATGGAGACTAGCCCAGGGGACACCAGGGCCCATCAGAACTTCAGCCAGGCAGCCCCAAGTGCACAGAAACATCTGAGCCAGAAAGCGCACTCTCTCAGCTGAGAACCACCCTTCTCCTCTACTCCTCAGGAAGAGGGTGCAGCCTTTCCCAAACAGGGTCCCACGGCACCCAGCCCAGGGCACCCATGGGGCACCCCAGGAGAAGGGGTCCCCTCTAACCAAGCCATTAGGAAGGTAGTCAGCAGCTTCACTGGAGGATCTCCAGACTGCAGGATGCGGCATCCAAAGGCCCGGACCACCCTCTTGGTCTCTCTCCACACCCGTGAGTCTGCACCAGGCCCTCCCCACCCCTGTGGCCCCCTGCAGTCAGACCCCAGGATTGCCCTGAGACACAAGGCTGGCAGCCTCACCCCTCAGTGACCTCCACCTGGCCCCGCCCGCCCTGCCCTGTGCTCTGATGACCCCCGGCTGTGTGCAGCTGCATAGCACCTGGGCTGGCTCCCTCCCCTCCTTCACGGATGGGATGCCCCCCCCCCCGCCATACGCCTCCATCAGCACCACTGTAACAGCGCTGATTGCCAAGGGGCTAGTGCTCCATCCGAACCACTGCCCTCAGCGACCTTGCCCTTCCTGGAGTGAGGCTGGGGCAGAAAAGGGGACGCAGGCTCATCCTATGCGGCCCGCTTATGTCCTGAAAGGGCAGAGATGGTAGGGGCCGGGTCCAAGGAATCCCCACCCAACAAGCCTGGAACCTGGGCACCCGCCCCACTCCTGCCTTCTACCGCCAAGACTGGAGATTTCCTGGCCATGGCCAGTCATCCTAGCTCTGACCACCAGTGCCAGGGAGGGCGTGCTGGATGAGCCAGCGCGGGCGCTTCTACTGTGGGGCAGCAAGGCCCACCCTGAGCCCTGGCCTGAGGCCTGCAGGGCTGGTGCAGTTTACCCCACACATGCCATGGACAGCAGGAAAATGACAGCCAGGAGAGGGGTGTCACTCTGCAAACGTGGCCTCCCTCGGCCAGGTGCGGTCTGTGGGCTTGTGCAGCTGGGGTCACTTGTCCCAAACTCCAGCACAAAGCAGGCCAAGGGCAAAGGCCTGGCATGGCCTCGCTCCAGCTGAGGACAGATGAGGCCGCCTTACCGTGGCTAACTCGTCGAACTTGCCAAAGAGCTCGTTCAGCAGCTTCACCAGCTCCTGTGCTGTGCACTGGGATGCCAAGCCCGTGAAGCCCACGATGTCCGCGAACAGGATGCTGTGCAGGACAGAAAGACAGAAGGATCCCTGAGGAATGACAACCCGGGCTTGCAAACGTCCCACCTGCCAGCCCCATTGGAAGGCAGCACCCTCTCCTCAGTGCAGGCTGGAGACAAAGGCTTCCTCTCTTTTCTCCCGTTTCACAGGGAGAAGACTGAGGGTCAGCGTGGCCCCAGGATGGGGATTCCTCTCCTGGTCACCCAAGCCTACGTGAGCCCCTGGGACATTCAGAGCCTGCATCCCGTCCTCCAAGCGGACCCTTCACATTGCACAGGGAGATCAGCCTGCTGTCACTAGCACTGCCCCTTCTCCAGGGAGGCCAGGTGAGCACCAAGCAGCAGCAGCAAGCCTGTCCGCCCCACCTCCAGTGCTGGGGATGGATGCTAGGAAAATGCTCTACCCCTGAACTACACTCCTGGCCCAAGACATGTCTTAAAACATGGTCCTGATCATCTATTCACCCTTGTTCCAGGTGCTCTTGGCTCTTTAGCCCTGGAACTTCCCAAGTCTACACCCCCCAGTGCTCCTCTAGGGAAATCATAGACACCAAGTAACAGAGGGTGTCACCCAGGAAGAGCCAACCCAGGAGGGGCAGGAAGAAGCAGGTGCTCTTGGAGCGGGACCCTACGGACTGCCTGGTGTCACCAGCTACAGCCAGGGCACTCAGGTGACATGTCCATTCCTCACTCAGATCCAACCCTTCCTCTGTAAGATGAGAATAAAATGAGAGTCCATCCTAGTGACAGCTTAGCCACTGTTTAGACTTATGAACAAGGGTTATCGCTCATCCATTCCTCCACTTGCTCATCTGACAAGTGTTTCCCAGGAGTGGATAGACCAGCAATGTTCTGGGTTCGTGGCACTTCACAGTGAAGAAAAGGTTCAAACACACATCGCTGCCCTCAGGAGGTGTCCATTCTATTCAAAGCAGGGGGTCATTTAACGTAAATCAAAGGTGGCACATCTAACAGTCTGTCACTGCAGCAGGGGAGATGGGTGTGCAGTTGCGTGTCCTGTTACCTAAATGCATGAGGTGACTTCTCCAAGACAGGAGGTGGCAGGTGCATGGAAACCAGGATGACAGGGTCCCAGGAGGTGGCAGGTGCACAGACACCAGGAGGACAGGGTCCCAAGGGAAGGGAACAGCACACACTGCTCCTGTGAGTTTTACTGGATACGGAATTCTTTTTATCTCAGCCTTTGAATACACTTTTGTCCACTTCTGGCCTCCTGGGTTTCTGATGAGAAACCAGCCAAAAGTGATACTGAAGCTGCTCGCCCATGCAGCGCTGTTTCTCTCTTGCTGCTGGAAAGATGTCTCCGTACCTTGGAGTTTGTTTGGTGAGGGTGTGTCTTGCTGTGCATCTCCTGGAGCTCATTCTCCTTGGAAATCAGTGAACTTCATGGATGTGTAAGTTAATGTTTTCCAAAAACAGGGGCATTTTTGGCCATCATTTCTCCTGATATTCCTTCTGCCCCTTCCTCCCCCTGTCCTCTGGGACGTGATGGTGTTTTACAGGCCTTGGGATTCTCTTAATTTCTTCCATCCTTTTCTTCATCCCATTCTTCAGGCTAGAAAATCTCCATGGGGTTCTTTTTCTGCCACTCAAGTCAGCTGCTGAGCCCTCTAGCAGATTTTTCACTTCATTTATCATATTTGTCAAATTTGGAGTATGTATTTGATTAATTGGTTTTTTAAATAATTTATGGTCGCTATTGCTGTCCTCTTAATGAGAAGTTATTTTCATGATTTCTGGTTGTGTTAGTTACTTTTCTCTCTTGCTGAGACAAAATACCAGCACCAAAAGTTAAGGGGGAAGGGGTTTATTTGGCTCACAGTTTGTAGAGGTTTCAGCCCCTAATTGGCTGGCTCTGAGGCTGGAATGGCAAGGAAGCGCTGCAGAGGAGAAGCAACATTGCACCCATACAGTAGCAAAAGCATCAAGCACTTCACCGCATCTTTCTGCCCCTTTTATCCCATCCAGACTACCAGGATTAGGGCAGTGCCAGACCAGTCACTCCTGTGTAGTGGTTTAGTAATCACACGCCCTTAACCCAGCATCACACATTCCACATTCAGCTACTTCTGACAGAATGAGGCTCTGGGGAGACATCCAGGTCCAAACCATAACACTTCCCTTGTCTCTGGGACAAAATACCCAATACTCCCACCTTAAAGGAGGAGAGATTTATTTTGGCTCATGGTTTCAGAAGTTTCAGTCCATGTTTGGCTTGAACACAGAAAAGACAAGGTAGAAGGGCCTGAGTGGAGGACAGCTGCTAGCATCATGGCAGCCAGGAAGCAGAGAGAAAATGGAGGAGCTGGGGAGGGAGATGAACACTTCCAGGCCACAGATCCAGTGACTCCCTTCTTCTAATCAGGTCCACCTCCTAACAGTCCACTCAGCCAGCGGCCCCATGATCCAAACGCCTTCCAAAAGCCCCGCCTCTGGATGCATGAGGCTATGGGGGAACATTCTAGATCCAGGAACATTCTAGACACAGTTTGTTCTTTGAACACATTTAAAATAGCTGATTTAAAGTTTTTGCCCAAGAAGTCCAATGTCTAGACTTCCTCAGGAACAGTTTCTATTCACTGCTCTCTTTGTCCTGAGTGGAAGTCCTATTTTTTTATTATTCTTCTCTAACACATTTCTACTGAGAACCAAATAACACAAGGCAGCAACTCTAGAGAGCAGATCATCCCCCCACACAGTCCAAGGATCATGGTTGTTGCTGTTTCATTTTGATCTTGTCTGCTTCGTGACTTTCCAAACTAATTCTGCATATCCCTGGTCTTCTGAAATTCCCAGAAATATTCCCAGAGCCTTCCAAAACACACTGGTACATCTCATTCCCTAGCTTTCCCTTCATTTATTTGGTGATTCTGTGTCCCTCAACTGTCGCCAGCACCCAAGGCGGCCATGATGTTAAACACTGGCGTGAATTGCTTCCCACAATGTTCTGAGCAAAGGCAGCCACACCGGGCTCTGAGTCAGGTCCAGGGAAGGCAAGTGTGGTAAGTGGGATTTTCCAGGGAAGTTCCACACAGTCAGACAATGATAACTCACCGTGAATGAGGCTTTGAAAGAGCACCAGCCCCATTCTAACTGCCTCCGGTCCTGGCCAGCTTGCCGATGTTCACTGTGATAGCGATCATTAGTTTTCAAAGCTACCACAGAGCTGAGGAATGGGACAAGATAAAAAGCTCATTGCTCCTGCGTTGGTACAAGACTTTAGTTCATTTCCAGAGTTCTGACAGCTTCTTCCTGAGTTGCTGGTGTGTCCTTAGAGGAGAAGGCTTTCAGATGTACTTCATCCACCACCCAGATGGACATCAGCCCCAGTGTGCAGGAGTCTAATGAGGATGGTAAAGACAGCAAGAGATGTTCATAGCTGGGATACAGGAAAATGTCTCAATAGCTGCCGTGGGGTGGCCAAGGGGTGAGGCGGAGCCAACACCCTGAGCCACAGAGCAGTGAGTTTCCTGGATGTCTCAGACTCTTGGACTTGGATGCATGCAAAAAAACATCCCAGTAGCTTCTGGGGACCAAGAAGCTGGCGAAGGAGGCAGGCAGGCAGATATTTTTAAAGGGAAAAAAGTAGTAACTCCTTATCCCTGCATTTGTGTGTATGTGTGTGTGTGTGTGTGTGTGTGTGTGCGCGCGCGCGCGCCCAGCTAAGAGACAAACTGAGGAAAAGCCTCTTAACTGTCCACACTCCAACTCCAGCTGCAACCCCAGGAGACATTTATAAATAATTCCTTTCTGGTAAGAACCTAACATTAGATCAAATCTCTTAATTTTTTTAAAAAAATATACTGTTATTATCCATTATTGGTATAACCTTGTGGAACAGATCACTAGAGCCTACTCACCTAGCTTGAAACTTTCTGCCCCTGCACTAGTATCTCCTCACGTCCACTACCTCTTCCCTGGAAACCATCCTGTCACTGACCTATGAATCCCACTGCTTTAGATACCACACAAAGGTGGAATCATAGTGACAGGCTTATTTTACTTGGCATAATGTCCTCAACTTTTATTTATATTGTCTTAGCTTACAGAATTTCCTTCTTTTTAAAAGATGAAAAGTATTCCATTTTATGTCCACACTACGCTTTATTTTCCTGAAGGCTTTATGCACTATCATTGCATAAAAATTGTGTGTGCATCATGCACAACTTGATTTAATATGCATATACATGGTAAAGTGACTATCATGATCAAGCTAATTAACATATCAATCATATTTACATAGTCAGCAGTCTTTGTACACTGAGAAGATTAAATTTAAGATTTATCCTCTTGGCAAATTTCAAGTATACATTACCATTAACTCCCACTACTGTATTGTACATTAGATCACCAAACTTATGCAGCTTGCATGACTAAAAGTGAGGGTTAACGTAAACCTAACCCTAACCCTAATCCTAAACCCTAACCCTAACCTATTCTCTCACCATCATTCCCCTGGTTTTTTCTCCCTCAGCTCCTGGCAAATAAGCTCCTGGTTCCTTTTCTCACTCTGCTCCTTCAGTGACCTCTTGTCATTCCCTTAAACTTTCTTCATTCCTTTTCACTCTTTTTTTTCTTTTTGATCCTCTGACTGAATTATTTCTAGGGATTGATCTTCCAGCTCATTTATCCTTTATTCTGCTTGGATCCTTTATTCACCTCTAGTGAGTTTTTCAGTCACTGTGGTCTTCAGCTCCATGATTTGCCACTTGTGTACATTTTCTATTTCTTTGTTGAAATTCTCTTTGCTTGTGAATCATTCTCTTGACCTCCGTGAGCATCTATATGAGAATTCCTTTTAATTCTCTGTCAAGTAATCCATTTAAGTGCATTTCACTAGTGTGTGTTTCTGGAGATTCATCTTATTCCTTTCTTTGGAGCATCTCTGTGCGGTTCTTTGTTTTCCCTGTCTCTCTGTTGGTGTCTGCAGAGTGGAGACAGCAGGCACCTTACCCAGTCTTCAGAGGTGCTGCAAGCAGGGAAGGTTCATATCAATCATCCCAGCCAGAGATTCTGGGGCCTTCACCACCTCTGTCTCCCTCCAGGCAAGACCGGGCAGCTGTGGTTTCTCCCTGCCCACTCCATGCTGGGCACCGGGGTGAAGGCTATGGCGTCTTTCAGCAGAAGCCCCCAGAAATCCAGACTGTAGAGATAGATGCCCACTCTTCGGACAGCCCAGAGAAGTTGGAGAACTGGTCACACTGACCAGTCTTCCCCCAAGGCAGAACTAAGCTGGGATTCTTCATCTTCTCACTCTGTGCTGAGCTGGGGGAGGTCACTGATGTCTACCTGCTCATGTCACCATGAGGCCCCTGATCCCAATGGCCTCCTGAAGTGTGCAGAGGCTCTGGCACCCTCAAGACTCTCCCTGGACCATGCTGGTGATCCATTCTCAGCAGGGAGAGGGTCGCTGCATCATGTCCTCACCCAGTAAGAAGACGGTAGATGAGTGGAGACAAGGCAAATGCTAGCGTCAGCTGGTCCTGGGTCCAGCTCTGAGTCACTGGCCTGGGAGCCCTGCACACAGCGTCACCCCGCAAACCCTCTGTGTCCTCAGCTATAAAATGGAGGAGGTAATGCTGACAGGTCATTAGCACTGCCACACCAGTCAGAACCAGGTATTTAGCAAAGAGGTTCTGAGCACCACTTTTGGAGTCACCTCGGGCTTGAATACTGGCTCTTCTGCTCCCTTCCAAACACCCAGGCCTTCACCCTACATGCTTCAGCATTCTCCTCTGCAGGAGGAGGACATCAGTCCTTACAGTAGCATGAAGAGCTCACCTGTAAGCTTGGGATGATGCGTATGAGCTCCCACCCGGGGTGATTATGCATGCTGGCTCAGCACATGGCCCACAAACCTTGGTTCACTTCTGATGAAAAGTTCTAGCTCACAGAGGACTAGGACAGGTCTCTGTTATCCTTTTGTGTCTCCAGGACCCCAGTGGCAGGGAGGCCTGACACTCACCACCGAGCCAGCAAAGAAAAGTGCCTCAGGCCCACACCATCTCCTGTCTTAGTGACATGCATGCACGTGCCAGTCTCAAGAAGCTGGCTCGCAAATATTCTAAGCACAGTACACTTCAACACACAGGATTTAAAAAAAAAAAATGTACAGTGTAGTAAGATAAATACTTTTGACAGAATCTTAAAATCAGAAAAAGCAAACCTCAGAGTGTCTACAGCAAGTTAGTGCATGCTGAGGACTCAGTTTCCCCACCTGTAAAACGGAGACAACAGTCCCTGCCTCCCAGGGCTGTCAGGAGATGAAAAGGGTAAGGAAGAGGAGCAGGCCCATCCCAGATCTGGGCAGCAACTAAACTAAAGCTTAACAGTTACTCAGACATGGGCAAATCCCCAGAGCAACACACCACTGTTCAAAGCTCACCTCAGAGACAGAGCTCTGACCCTCTCTGGTCAACACAGGAAGTGCAAGGGCACTGTGGTAGGAAATAGGAACAAGAGTGACAGCATGTGTCACCTAAGAAGCCACAGCTCCTCCAGGGGACCGGCTTCCCTGCCAGGTAACTGCTCAGCTGGGCATCCTGACCACATTGCCCTCTCCTCCCGAACTGCTGTGATCTCCCTCCGCCCCACCCATCTCATCCCCTCCCCACATTCATCATTATCCCGCCCCCCACCTCCATCACCCCATCCTCACCTTCTTCCCCCGGGGCCCACTGTGGCTCCCCACTACAGCCCCCCAGCCCACTTCTAGGCCAGGTCTCTGCCAGCCCTACCTCACATTGTCATGCCTCTGGATGTAAATCTTGTGGAAAATCCTCTCGGGGGGCTTGAGGAAGTCCTCCTTCATCTCCATGGCAACATTCCGGGGCAGGAGGCTCATGAGCAGCCGCTCCTGTTCAGGAGAGGAGGCCACGTGAGGCAAAGGGTCCCCCTTCTTCCTTGGAGGAGGCCAGGGAGGGAGCTGGCCCCGGCCGGGGGCCACAGACCCCCGCCCCCCACCCCTGCAGGCACAGTGAACCACAACCAGACCCACAGACCCTGCCCAGGGCCCAGACCTGGACCTCGCCGAACAGGGAGCCAGCTCGCTCCAGGAGCGCTGGCTGGCGGGGCCGCCAAGACCCTGGGCAGAGGGGTCACAGACGCACAAACGCCACTGGCTCCCACGGGCCCACCTGGCCCCACGCCCCCCCCCCAGCACTGAGGCCCTCAGCCCCTCCTGGCTGGACATGGCCTCACAAAGGGGCCCTGGGGTGGCCCACCACACCAGGTGAGGGACCTGTCCCTGTGTTTATCAGCATCCCTGGCCCCGGGACGATTCTACAGACTTGCTCAAAAGTACCAGCCAGGTGGAGAAACTGAGGCAAACCCACTGGAAAGGCCTCAGGGAAGCACAGGGCGGGTCTGTGCTTTCGGGGTCTCAGGGAGAATTCACAACTCCTCAGGCGTCCAGCCAGGCACAGCCCCAGGCATGGCCCTGAGAGACCCACAGGGACCGTGGGCAGTGTCCCCATGCCGGACAATGGGCCCCACCTGGCCCCTGTGGTCACTGCATGGCCATTGCCCCAGCAGGGAGGCTGGGCTCCCAGTGTCCACTGCCTGAGCCGGGTGCGTGCAGACAGCTCAGGAAGCCACACCCAGAAGGGCTGGGCCACCAGGCAGGAGGACTGGCCTCCAGAACAGAGGCATCTGGACCACCGGGCCACAGGGTTGGCCCCAAGGGAAGGAAGGAAGAACTGGGCACAGGGGCTGGCTTGGCACAGGGCACTGAGAGGGGGCTACCACAGTCAGCGGCCACGGCCAGATGTCCCCCCACTGCAGGCACCCAGGAAGTGCTCGGCCTTATCAGGGGCCTCGGTGGTTACGAAAGAAGACCACATTTTCCAGCGTCCTGTGCAGCTCATGTAGCAAAGAGAAATCAGACAGACCAAGGTCCTGCAGGAGCTACATAGCTTGGACACGAACCACGAGGTGAGCTGCTTCGCCCTGGCGCATGCTCCTGCCAGGACGCACTGCCAACTGGTCCCAGACCAGAACTTCCAAAACTGTGAGCCAAAACGGACCTTTTCTCTTCATAAGCCATCTCGGTATTTCATTGTAGCACTGGAAAGCTGGTGAACACAGGGAGCTTCTGGAATAGCCTTCAAAACGGCTTCTCTTATCTTTCTCCCAGGCCATGGGTGGGCATGCAACCTCAATGGCAGTATCTCTAGCTGCCATCTTGGTTCATGAGGATGAAGGCCTCACCCTAGGGACCTAGGTGGGGAACTTAAAAAATAAAACCAGGTTGCTGAGGGATAACTGGATCAGACCTGCCACAGCACCAGCAGATGCCTGCCCTGCCCTGTGAAGTTCCTGACAGCTGCCTGTACTCCCAACCAAGGGCCCAGGATAGCTGCCTCTTTAGATGAACAACAACATCCAAGGCCACCACCTGCTGATAAGCAAACCTAAAGCATAACTCTTTCCACAGGATGCAAAAGGGCCATGTCATAAGATCCAGCACTCCCTTCTGATTTACATCAAAGCAACCTGACATAAAGTAGCTCGTTTGCATAATACAGATGTTACCCGATTAGTTTCCAGTCTCCAATGGGACTCCGAAGCCCCAAATGCAGTAAGTATTAACATCAGGAACAGAGGATGATGCCGGTAAGGTCCAACCAGCAAAATGAGATGCACAGCCAGAAACCAAAGGGACAAAAGTTATTATGACTCTGGATTGACTATAGATCATAGCAAGGCTGGCCTTGTCCTGCAAATACAATATTGAAACCTTAATGCACTTATCTTGACTATCAAAGTGTGACTAGTAAATGTGCCAAGCTTCATACAAATTAGATATATGGGTGACGGCTGCACAGGCAGGGCTTCTGGGGAGATGGGGCTGCTTGGTCCTCCCCAGTCCCACCGAAGTCCTGGAGGCTCCCAAGAGCATCAAGATACTGAGCGGCAGAGACCTGAGCCTAAGAAAGGACACCGAAGTGGCTTCTCTGGGCTTCTGGTCTGCACCCAACCCCACCCACACCAGCAAAAACCAAGTCACCGAGCTAGACCTCCACCCTCCCCTCTGGCACTGGATGGGGTCACAGAAGGCCATGGAGGGAGCCAGGCCTGTCACTTTCATGCCCTTGTTACAAGTACCCTGGTCCCCCCTCCCCCGGGGTCAGTAGGACCACAGGCCTGCTCTGCTCCTCCTGCATCAAGTGCCTTGCTCCTGCCCGCAATAAGGAAGGGTCAGTGGAGGCCCAGTATGGAGCCAGGACTCTCATCCTCCCAGTAGTAAAGAGACCACAGGTCCCTGTCCCCTGCCAGAGTGACGTCACAGAAAACCAGCCCAGCCATGTGCAGTGGTGCACACCTGTAATCCTTGCCCTTGGGAGGCTGAGGCAGGAGGATCACAAGTTTCAGTCCAGCCTGGCCAATTTAGCAAATTAGTGAGGTCTTATATCATAAAAAATAAAAAAGGAGCCAGGTGGTGGTGCACCTGTGTTATCCCAGCACTCTGGGAGGCTGAGGCAGGAGGATTGCAAGGTCAAGCAAAGTCAGGGCAATTTAGCGAGACCCTGTCTCAAAGTGTAAAAAAATTAAAAGGGGGAGGAGTCTGGGAATGCAGCTCAGTGAAAGGTCCTAGGTTTGATTCCCAGGATTTAGATAGAGAGACAGATAGACAGACAGACAGACAGACAGACAGATTGGCTGGAGATGCAGCCCAGCATGAAGGCCTTGGGTTCAAACCATAGTACCATGGAAAGAAGGAAGAAAGGGAAGGAGGAAGGAGAAAGGAAGGGAAGAAGGAGTAGAAACCCAACCCAAACAAGGTCCAAACAAGAGACACTTTCTCATATAGTGCCCAGCAGATGCCCGGGTTCCAGTGAACAAACCCCACATGACATCAAGAACTACAAGGCGCTCAGTGGATGAACAAAGACAAGCAACACTCTCAGCACCAGAAGGACACAGAGGTCAGAATAACCGACAAAGACCTCAAAGCAGCCATCATCATCAAGTCAACAAAGAACTGAGACACTCTCAACAATAAGCATACATTGTAAGAAGCCTTAAGGAGGTGCCAGCAATTCACCAATGCACAGGAGGGCCGGTACACCCTGCCAAATGGGCTTACTCTGAGGATGCAGTGCTGGTTCAATATCGAATATCAATGCTATAGATCACAGCAAGGGGTAAGGAGTAAATACACATGGCAATTAACACTGACAAAGGGTGGAACAAAAGACAGCATCTATTCATAATGAAAACTTTCAGGGACAGAGGAATAGAGAATTTCCTCATCTTGATAAAGAACACCCCAAGAAGCCTACAGCTAGCATCACCCCGAAAGGTGGGACATTGAGTGTTTTTGCCCAGAGTATGGCCAGGGCATCAGCCCTGTCACTCACACTCAGCATCACACTGGAAGGACACAGACCAGAAGAAAGAAATAAGAGTTACATGCTGGTCTACACAGGAAACAGAGGACGCTACAAAAACAAAAACAAAGCAAAGCCTAGACACCCAGAACAAATGATTGAGTTAAAAAGGTCACAGGATATTGATTAAAGAGATCAGAAAAATCTAAATAAATGGAGAGACACACTTTCATGGATTGGAAGAGTCAATATAGGAAAGATGCAAATTCTCTCCAAATCAATATACAGCTTTAACACAAATTCTATCAACATTCCAGCAATGTCTCTAGTAGATATAGGTAAGATTATTCTAAAATTTATATGGAAAGAAAAAGAGTAATAAAGGCTAATGTGATTTAAAAAAAAAATGAGGTAGGAAGAATCAGTCTACTTAGTCTTGGAGACTTTTTACAAAGCAATAATAATCAAGACTGTGTACTGGTAAAAGGATAAACACAGAAGATACTGGAGTCTGCCCCCTGTTTAAAACCCAGCACCATATCCACATAAATATGCACAACTGGTTTCTGTCAAAGGTCCAAAAGTCATCCAATGGAGGAAGGATAGTCTTCTCAACAAATGCTAGAACTGAATACCCACAACCATAAAAATAAACCTTGACTTAGACCTCACACTTTCCCTCCAAATTAACTTAAAATATAAAGGTTTAATGCTAAACTATGCTATGAAAATTTTAGAAGAAAACCCATGAGAAAAACCTTCAGGAACTAAGGCTAGGCTCAGAGTTCTTAGATCTGATCTCAGATCAATAAAGAAAGGAACAAGGAACAAACCATTAATAGATCCAACAACTTGTCTGTCCATAAAATTAAAAAGTGCTAAATTAACTCTCATCAAAATTTCAAAATGTTTGTTCAGCAAAAGACATTGTTAGAGGATGAAAAGAGAAGCTCCGGCTGGGAGAGAACATTTGCAAACCACCCAGTCTCCAAAGGACTTGTATCTGGGCCGTATGAAAAATTCTCAAATGCAGCAAACTTAAGAAAATTCCAACTAGAAAATGGGCAAAAGACATGAACAGGCACATCACTGGGAATGTCATGCACAACCACTTTGGAAAAGAGTTTTGCTATTTCTCAATGAATTAAATATGCAACTACCAAAGGGCCCACCACGAACTTCCGGCCATTCATGCCAGAGAAATCAATACCTGTGTTCACATGAAAACCAGTTCCCAAACATTCATACAGTTGTATTTGTAATAGCCTCAAACCGGAAGCTACCAAGACGTCCTCTGGTAGTGAACAGCTAAATAAGCTGTGCCTTGGCCACAGCAAAGAATACCATGTGGCAACACAGGGAATTAACTACTGACAAATTCAGTAACCTGGATGGGTCTGTAGAGAATTCTACCAACCCCCAAACTCAACAATTGGAGTGATTCCATTAGATGATGCCTGGAGAATTATAAACCAGGGGAAACGGAGAAGTCTGAGGGATTGAGAATGAGTGCCGTGACCCAGGA